TATTTAATATAATAAATATTAAAGTAATAATAATATTTAAAATACACAATGTGTATATACAATATGATATATAATAAAATACTATAATAACTTTATTATATATACATATGCATTTTATATACAAATTTTATGTAGAGCATACTGAACATCATTTTTTGCCCTCTTTACCTAGTAACATTAAGGATCAACACGAGCAGCCTTTCTAGGAGTTGTTACTGGTTTTTATCAAGAAATGTTTCTCACAACTAGCACTTCTTTGAGAACTACCTGATGGATTAAAGAATTCTGAAATGTGATCAGAACTTCCCTTTTCCTACACTGAAGCAAAAGACTTCTCCACTTCTTGAGTGTAATTAGAAGGGGATAAAAATGAAAAAATGAAAAAAAAAAAAAAAAAAAGGCCCCATACGTTTTCTTTAAAGATGTGCATCTTCCCCAGATCTTGGTGGTTTAATGTTGCGGTGGTGATGCCACACAGACGGGCTGGTTTACTCAGCATGTGTAGGAGTTTTCTTTCAGTATTGAAAAAGAAGAGAGAACGGGGCATGAAGAGAAATTTACTGCCTCTCCCCCTAGCTCTTATTTTTCTCTGCTTTCTTGCTATAAATTATGTTTACTTATATCTGTTACAAATACAAAGGTTGTGATGTGCAGCACCAAATACACGGGCTTGATGGACAAGAAAATCTCTTCCTATATTTTCCCAATCTGCCATCTTCTGTAAAGGCCTTTCAAATGTGCAGATGGAGGGAAGAAAAAAAATAATTCTATAATACAAAATCTGTATTATTGTCATTTGATTTGCATACGTATGGGGAGATGCGTCTTGCCCCTTATGTGAGGGACTTCACAGCCATCCCCGTGTACATTAGATGGAAGCGTGGGCCGCAGCAGCCAGTGCTGTTTGAGGTGGGAAGACTACAGTCAACTCAGACTCCTCATTAAATCCACAGCACTTAGCTGTTGGGACTCATCGTGCTTAACTTGAGCCATATGAAAATGAAACATAATTGAAGGTGATTTTTCAGACTCCATCTGTTGTCAATGGAGAGAGAGGAGAAACTCCTCAGCATTAATTCTCCCTCTCTGTCTGAGTCACCTTATTTAAGATGAGGAGAATCTCCTCCTAAGGATATTTCTCCATTGACTACAGCAGGAGCCAGACAAGTGGCATAGATTAGATAACTGGCTTCTATAAGGCTAAATGTAGGTGAGATTATTTTCCCAGGTGGCAACATAGACTTAACCGTAAATTCTTTTTTCTGTTTCAGTAAGAAAGAGAGATGTGAAAAGGCATTGTTTAATCAAGATATGAAAAGAGTGGTGAAGAATTTTTTATTAAGCTAAGAACGAAGAGATTTTTCAGAGACTTTATGCAGCCTTCCAGCTAATTTTTATTTCTTAGTCAGAAACTGTTCTTTACCATGGGGCCATCTGTTTCAAATTCCTCCCTTGCAGTGTTGGATACAGGGATAAAAATGTGGCTAAGTTGTGTAGAGAGCTGATAGAAAACTGGTCTCCAAATATATAATGCTATTTCAGTACTAAGGCTGTACACAAAGTTTTCCTAACTGTACTTAGAAATGCCTGACTTTTTAAGGTTGTTACAGTAAATATTGTCTTAAGCCCTAGTACCCCTGATATGATGCAGGTTGCATCAGATTTGAATATCAGCATAACTAAAGAGTAGCTCCCATCTAAAGCCCCCCTCCTTCTTCCAACAATAAGCTGCAGTTGGTCATCCCAACTCTTTTTTTTCTGTCTAGACAAATTGTGATACATGTTAGACTTGCTGAAACTTCTCAATTTAAGAGTCTCCTTTTGCAAATGGTAACTGCTTTTCAGGTAAAATCCATCTTTTGAAAGATGTATGAGTTTCTTCTGTGGTTTGTTGTGGGGTCTTAAAGAGATGTTTCCTTCCAAATATGTTTTCTTCCACAGCCAGGAATTCCAGCAAGAAATTGGACTTGGGTTCTTTTTTGCTAATTCAGCTACAATCTCTTGTATTACTTTTTAAGCTGCCTAATGACCGTGAACCCTAGATTTCCCATTTGTGAAGGGGAATGAGGGGAGGGTGGTATAATGCGTCCTTAGAGGTTGCTTACAAAATTTTTCATTACTATGTGAGATGTTTGTAATGAAACCTTGGTGGAAGGCTCTTAAGAAGAGCGAACTAGTTTTGCTATTCTGCCCCCTATTGTAACATCTTGTGCCCAGAGTTCTGCTTTAAAAATGGTTAAACAAGGTGCATATATACACACTTGAGGCAAAAGTGGTCTTTATTTTGTTTTTCTCCTAGTACCATGAGCTCACGACACTCTGCCAGCCCGGTTGTTTTTACCAGTGCCAGAAGCTCACCTAAAGAAGAGCTTCATTCTGCTACTTCTCCGCAGCTCGCACCTTCTTTCTCCTCTTCTTCTTCCTCCTCATCTGGTCCTAGGACTTTCTACCCTCGCCAGGGTGCTACTAGCAAGTATCTGATCGGATGGAAAAAGCCAGAAGGGACAATAAACTCAGTGGGGTTTATGGATTCAAGAAAGTAAGACTGCTTTTTGGTTCTCTTGTTTGGTTATTTACTTTAATTGTAAAGAAGCATTGAGATCTGTGATACTTCTCTGTATAGAAGAGCTCAAGACTATGTAATAGAATGTTTAGTCTTCTGTAGAACTTAATCTCTAGAGTTCTGCAGTTGGGCTTAAATATTTGATAGTTGGCTAATCTAATTCACTGTTAAGTTGTAAAAGATTTTTTTTTTATCGTTTCTAGAGAGCTGTATGAATTTCAGTCCTATTAAAGCTTATCTTTCCTTGGGACTTTTTGAAGGTGACTCAAAAATGCTATTTGAGCAAATATTTAAAATCCTCTTAACATAGAGCCTGAGTTCTTCCTTAAGTCTCTCATCCACGTAGTAGTACCGTGCATGCTATGCCTTAGCTCTGTGGCACTCCATGTTGCCTTGTTGAGATTGCTGCCAGAATCCAGTCTAACTGGCTTAAAGCAAGTCAAGATCTCTCTGTGTTACAATATGCAACCATCTCTTTTAGAAGAGAAATTGAGAAACAACTTACTACTGAAAATATTGTTCCTTCAAGTCTAGCATGACTTGGAAAGCAAATCATTCAGAAAGCCCATTTCAAAGTAATTTATTCAACCCTTCTTGACTTTTATTGGGTCAAGCACAGTATCCCTAGATGATACTGATAACTGTTGAAAGGAGATGGTGAAACTTTGTGAAAATCGCATTATAAAAAGCCAGTTGAAAGATTAAAGAAACTTAGTGATTTGCTGCTTTTGGGCTCATTTAAGACATTTATATTTTTCAGTTTTGTACAGAATATACATTATTTTAATAGATTCAGTCCTTTATTGGGAAAATGTATTATGATAACCTTTGAGTGTATTGCTAGTTGATTTTTTTAACAAGGTTATTGCTTTAGCAGGTATTCATTAAGATGAGGCCCTGCTGTAGTAGTGA